GTGAACCAAGTTGGTCATGAACTTATGGCAATCCTCCTGCATCTGCCTCCCAGGTGCTAGAACTACACGCACCACATTCTGCTTTAACTTGTTTCGATCTAAAGCATGGAAGAAGTGACATTGTGAGTTTCAGAGCCTACAGCTTAAGAAGTCTAGAAGCCCCATTTTTACCCTACTGGGGTCTCATGGTTTGAATACAAAATGCTGTCTACAGGTCAGATCGTGAAGCTATTTGGGGATGTGATAGAAGCTTTTATTTATTTATTTGTTTGTTTGTTTGTTTGTTTTATACAAGATCTTGCTCTAACCAAGCCTCCTGTGCTGGCTACCCATTATTGTCAACTTAATACAATCTAGAATCACTTGACAAATCACTTGAACTGAAGGCTCAATCAGACTGGCTTATGGCTATGTCTATGACAGGTTGTCTTTATTAGTGATTGATGTGGGAGAGCCCAGCACACTGTAGGTGACACCATCCCTAGGCAAGTAGGCCTGGGCTATATAAGAAAGGTAGACAAGCATGAGCCAGAGAGCAAGTTAGAAACTAGCCTTCCTCCATGGTTTCTGCTTCAGTTCCTGCTTGAAGTCCTGACCTGACTTCATTCATTGATGGCTTGTCATCTGGAAGTGCAAGCCAAATGAACTCTTTCCTCTCCAAATTGTTTTGGACAGAGTATTTTATCATAGCAACATAAAACAAATGAGAACACCACCAGATGACTGCATTCCCAAGAATGAAAGAAAGGAAGGAAGGAAGGAAGGAAGGAAGGAAAGAAAAGAAAAGAAAACTTAAGAAGCAGAGTGGCCAGTCAACACACTTGCTGGGGGAATGAAGAACAAAGAAAAGCAAAACTGATTCACTGGCTCCGTCATCCAAGCCAGGCAGGACTCAGGTTTGGGTACTGTGTCCTGTGCTAATTTTCTCATTCCACTTGACAGCTTTCTCCCTAATGACCCTTACACTTGGTTGGCAGTAAGCACCATGGATGCTCCTCTCCTTTGCCAACCAAAAATATTTGCCCTTTAAGTTGTTAGTTGCTGTTCTCATTTGGAAGAAAATACAGGCCAAGAAATTCCTCTGTATGTGTGCATAACTGGTGTCTGGATTGAGGTTTTAACTGTTTTGTGTTTGTTGTTTGTTTTTTATTTACTTCGTTTTTTGGTTTTCTGAGACAGAGTTTCTCTATGTAGCCCTGACTGTTCTGGAACTCTCTGTAGACCAGGCTGGCCTCAAAGTCACAAAGATCCACCTGCCTTTGCCTCCCCAGTGCCCAAATTAAAGGTGTGCACCACCACCACCTGACCAGAGACTTCACCAGTTTGACTGGCTTTTTAAATTAATTTTAGTTGGATATGTGCTATCTCAAAGAAAGATGCCTCTTTTCAGAATCTTGCATTCCTTACTGTTCTGGTTTGGGACAGGAGAGAGATGGAAGGGATGTGAGGATAGTGCTCCAACAACAGTCTCCCTGCTCTCTGCCTTTTTCCCTCCCTTCTTGCTCCCTTGCAACCTTCCTTGTGTCTTCCTTACTTCTATCCTTTCTTCTTCCCCCACCCCCAACCCCCTGTCCTTCCTTTCTTTCGCCCTCTATGTCCTTCCTCTCCACTAAAATTTCTCAGACACCCATGTGTTAGTCAGGTTTCAGTCACTGTAACAAAATGTCTGAGAATATCAACTCACCAGCGGTCGGTTAGACCGAGTTTATTTGGCTTCATTGTTTCTGGGCCTGTGTTGAGGCTAAACCAAAATGGTGTGCACATGTGGAACAGAGACAGTCACTTTGTGGCAGTCAGGAAGGCGGGGGGGGGGGAGGGAGAACGGAAGAGAGGAGGAGGAAGGTCAGAGGGGAAAGGAGCTGTACCACTGGAAGCAAGATGCTTTCCTCCAGGACACACCCCAGTGACCTACTTCTGCCCACTAGGCCACATGCCCTAAGGTTTCCCCCACCTCCTGACACGTCATCAGCTGATGTTCATATCTCTAGCACATGACCTTTGGGGATTCGTTTCAGATCCAAATCATAGCAAACTGCAGCTATATGTTGAAATTTTCTATATTATCTTATATAAATCTTATAACGATAAGGTGAGAATTAGGAAACTTAGGGAATCCTTTTTATTTAATCATTTTTTGCATTTATTTAGTGTGTGTATGTGCACAGTCCCTACGACATGTGGTGTGGATGACTTACTGGAGTCATTTCTCTTGTTCCACCACTCGGGTTCTGGGGTTAGCCCCTTCTACCACATGGACTTGATGGAAAATAACTTTACCACTGAACCACAGTGATCCTATTTATTTATTTATTCATTCATTCATTTATTATTTATTTTTGGGTTTGTTTGTTTTTGTTTTTTGAGACAGGGTTTCTCAGTGTAACAGCCCTAGCTGTCCTGGAACTAGCTCTTGTAGACCAGGCTGACATTGAACTCACAGAGATCCACTTGCTTCTGCCTCCTGAGTGCTGGGATTAAAGGCATGTGCCACCACTGCCCAACCCATAGTGATCCTTTCTAAAGATAGGACATATGCTACAAAACAAGAGGAACCCTGCTCAACAAGGTGAAAGGCTTCTAAAGGCTGTCTTCTGACCTCAGCACGCACACTGTGGCACTGCCCTCTCTCATTCCAACCACCTCACTCACACAGCAACAAGCAAAAGAAAAACATTAAAAAAAACCACGCACAACAAGGTATTTGTTGGGTCCTATATGGTGATTCAAGCCTGCAATCCTAACATTTACATGATTGACTGAGACAGGATTGTGAGTTCAAGTCCAGCCTAAACTGTATAATAAGCACAATAAGACCCCATGAAAATAAAAAGGAAGAAAAGAAAGCTGGAAGTGGTCCTGCATACCTTTAGGACCAGCACTGGGGAGACAGAGGCAGGTGGATCTCTGAGTTCGAGGCCAGCCTGGCCTACAGAAATGAAATGAGACTAAACAAAGTAGATTTGGAGAAATGAGGTTATTTTCCAGCTCCAGTTGTTGTTGTGCTGGGAACTGAACCTAGACCTTGAACCCCACCCCTGAGTCTGTCTATCATTATAGTATGTAGCTCCAAGACCTCAGTGATTTGAGTATCTTTATACTCATAGAAAAAGATGAAAACAGTAATTCATTTTCTCTGACCATAATTTAAATGTTCCTTGTACCAAAGGATTTCCTTCCAACCAAGTACCCAGGTGCAGACCAGATTTCCTTTGTGCTCAATATGTCTGTTGACAAAGAAAAGCAAGACAAGTCTTTTCCATGACAATAGAAGATTAGATTGACTAAAATATGATAATGGTAAGGGGGGTATACACTATCCTGACACATTTTGTGGCATGTGGCCACAGAGCTTCTACTAGACTTGAGATTCCTCTAAACTTAGCTCTTGGGCCTTAGGAAGGCCCTTGGCAAGAAGGTCATAAATATAGGTTCTGGAACCATACAGGGATGAGTATATCTCCATTCTACTCTCTTACTGGCTCTGGGACTCTAAATGTCTCTACAAAATGGTCTGGAACTTGCCATCTAAGCCAGGCTATCCTTGAACTGGTTTTCCACTTGTCTCAGGGACCAAAGAACTGGGATTATAGGTATATCACTATGACTGCCTTCTACTTCTTACAATTTTTGTAATCAAGGAAATAACAGACATGAAATTCATAATCCATTATCTGAACTATAATAAATATTTTCATTAAATTATGTCCTGAGAGCCAGGGTAGATGGGTGATGTCTACTTAACAGGCCAATTCTAAGATGCTTCTTTCTGATCCCCATATCCTGCTGCTCATACCCTCAGCAGTAGTGCCTTGATTCTAACCAACAGAACACAGCAAAGGAGAAATCACTTTTGTGATATGGTGAGATTATTTCTGTCTTTCTAGAGGCTCCCTACTGCCTTCTCAGTTTGCATTCCTTGAAGCAAGCTCCTTTAAGGTTTTTTTTTTTTTTAAATGTGCATTGGGGTTTCGCCAGCATGCATGACTGTGTAAGGATATTAAATCCCTTGGAACAGGAGTTACAGACAGTTGTGAGTTGCCGTGTGGGTGCTGGAAATTGAACCTGGGTCCTTTGGAAGAGCAGTCAATGTTCCCAACCGCTGAGTCAACTCTCCAGCCTTATCTAGATTCTTAACCCACAGAAAATGTGGGCTATGTTGTTATAAGTCGCAGTCTATGAGAATTTGTTACATTGTGAAATATAACCTATTAGCAAATCCCTCTCGCTCCATTTCTGGTTTAAAGCCCATCGCCCCACTTCTTCAGCGACTTAACATCTATCCCATTACTTCGTAGCTATTAGTTTCCTTGTTTCTCCTACAGTGTGAGCTCTTCCAGGGCATAACCCTAGATGACCTGGAATTCTCCGTCATTCCTCAGTCTCCCGAGGGCTAGTATTACAGGCTGCATCCCCAGAAGTTGCCGATGAGTATTAGCAACTAGTTTTCTGTGATGATTCTTATTCAGGCTTGTGAGCCATTAGCTCTGCATCATCTGAGTTTTTTCCCTGGAAAAATTGCATCCTACTCTTAAGATAGCTTTACTCAGCCTTTCTGATTTAAACAACTCGTGGTGCAGGCCTTTAATCCCAGCACTTGGGAGGCAAAGACAGGAAAATCTTTGTGAGCTCGAGGCCAGCCTGATCTACAGAGCGAGTTCCAGAACAGGTTCCAAAGCTACACAGAGAAATCCTAGCTCGAAAAACAAAACAACAAAAACAAAAACAAACAAACAAAAAAAAAACCAAGAACAAACAAAAATTCTCTGGATTAAATTTGTAAAACGGTTACTGAGGAAGTGTAAGCCTCGGATTTTGAGAACTTCCCAAACTGGAATGCCTTAAACGGAGGTGGCCACTGAGGAAAATAGAGCAGGGTTTCACCTGGAGGCCTGCAACGGACGGGGCCGCCTCTTAGAAACCCTGGTACCTCCAGAGGGCGGGGTCGTATCATAGGGGCGCGGCCCGGCCCGAGCATCCTCCCAGACAGTTGGCTCCGGTGGAGGGGCCGGGAGAGCTGGGCAGGGCTTCCTGTCTGCGCCTGCGGAATCGCCGTTTGACCCCGGAAGTGTTGGCTGTGTGTAAGCTGTCACCGTGTACGGCGGCTGCACGTCGCGGGTGTGGAGCCGAGAGGTGAGTGAGTGCCCGGTCCCCACCAGTGGAGCTTGGCAGGAGCTACGCCGTGCTTCGGGCACCCTCGGCACCCCCAGCATACGGGCTTCACGGCGGGACCAGGCTTACATTGCCCCAGGGGCCGTGAGTCGCCACAACGAGGCCAAGAGAACCAGAACCTGGAGTTCCGGTTCGGTTTAAGGCTTGGCCCCAGAGTGGCCTGGGACGCACCCCAGTCCCCACCTCCTCCTCCCAAGCTTCAGTATCCTCGGCTTTCATTCGTTCAGCATGTGTTTGTTGATCTTCTCTCATGTGCCTGGTACAGAACTAGGCACCGGGACTACAAACAGCAGCAGAGACAAGGCTCTTGCCCTCGTGGATCTTAAGAGTCTAGAAGAAGGAGACAGTCAGTCAGTAAATGCATAAAGCAATTAAAGATATGACAATCAGTCACAAGGAGAGAGATTATTTCAGGGAAGCTCTGGGAAGGTTTCTAAACAGTGATGTTGACCAACAAAGTGATGGATGACAGTCAGAGAAACAGGCAGCAATAGCTTTGGAGATGCTCGTTGGCCGTTTAACAGTTGTTAGTTTCCTCGAAAACACTTTCTTAACTTTTGGCCTTTGCTGCCCTGCCCAGAATAAGAGGTATAGCGGTGCACGGCTGTCCTGGTGTTTTACAACTCAAAGTCTGGTTTTTGCTTTACTTTTTAACCCATACTTTAAGTGAAAACTCAAATCCTCTTTGATCCCTCCATCGTATAAGTCATTTTTGTTTAATATTTCATGAACCTTGCATATTCAGCAAACATCATGACACTGATTATTAGTTGGGTGGCAGTTGGCTTTGTACCTGTTCTCGTGAAGACTAAGTTTTGTGAATGGCACCACCAGGTCAGTTCTTTGCCCATGTTGGTATTTTCTGAACATCATTACCTGGTACATAGTAGGGACTGAAGTATCTAGAGCCAGGTGTGGTGACACATTCCTGTAATCCCAGTACTCAAGAGGCTGAGACAGAAGAATTGGTTCAAAACCAGCTTAAGCTACATGAGACCCTGTCTACCCAGTCTCAAATTTAAAAATAAAAAGTACAATAAAAAAAAAAGAAGAAAAGTCGGTAGGTGGTAGCACCTTTAATCTGAGCACTGGGGAAACAGAGGCAGGCGGATCTCCGTGAGTTCGAGGCCAGCCTGGTCTACAAGAGGGAGTTCCAGGACAGGCCTCAAAGCTACAGAGAAACCCTGCCGAGAGAGAGAGAGAGAGAGAGAGAGAGAGAGAGAGAGAGAGAGAAGAAAAGAGTGAGCCATATGTAATATTGCATGTTGTGATGTATGCCAGTACTCAAGAGGCTGAGGCAGGAGATTGCTGGAGCTAAGAACCAGCCTGTGTCACAAGACCTTGTCTCATAAGTACTTTAAAAGGTAAATTAAGGTGCCAAGGAAAGCATTTAGGAGAGTGCTTAGTGTCTAGCAAACACATTGCTATTGTCTCGTCAGTATGTCTCATATCTCCAGGGCTGAGCCACACATCTGACATCTGAGCAACCTGGTAACAAATAGCTGATTATATCCTCAAAAGTCTGTCAGGACATAGTGATTTCCTCCTTCTAGTCTTGATTTGTTTCTTGTTGTCATTGGGACTTTTTACTGGCATGTCTTTTGAAAGGCTTAATTCTATGATTCAATCAATACACGTGTTCTTGCTAAGAATAAGCCCAAGTGGTGTTAGAAAAAGGGACCATGGAAGAGCTAGTCTGCTGGTTTGGCTTTGTGAACTATGTCCACATATATGTGGGCACAAATGTATGTGTGTGGAGGTCAAAGATCAACCTCAGGAGTTGGAATTGTTCCTCAAGTTATCCACCGTTTTTTTTTTGTTGTTGTTGTTGTTATTTGTTTGTTTGTTTTGGTTTGTTTTTGGTTTGTTTTTGAGATAGGGCTTGTCTAGTATACTGTGCTGACTGGCTAAGGAAACTTTCACCTTCTGCTTTCTCAATGCAGAACTCCACATTTTTAATGTGGTTTTGGGAACTGAACTCAGATTCTCTTGCTTGTGCAGTCTGGATGATGCTGACCGAGCTATCTTAAGTCCACTTTGTGATTATTTTATTATTTTATTTCTGTTTGAGAGTGAACCCAGAGACTTGCATGTGGTGAGCACAAATTCTATCACTGAGCTGTACCCAGCTGACCAACTACTGGCTTTGAATCCAATTTGGCCCCTTCATGGAAGGGATCATGTGTTGGCAGATTCCTATGGATTTTCTTTTCCTTCTGTTAGTTTGTCATGCCTTCCTCTGAAGCCTGGAGAAGTTAAGTCTTGATACTCTCTATGTATGAGGAAAAGTCCATTGTCCCAACCCTTAAAAGACCTAAGGTCCCCTAAGAATTGAAAAGAGTATTTTTTTTTTCTGAAGAACGTAGCTCAGGTAGACTAGTCTAGCATCTGTGATGAGTTCTATCCCCACCATAGAAAGGAAAATTGCTCCTCATAGTCTTTCATCCTTCATTTGGTGAGGCTGCATCTGTTAGACCTGTGCTGATTATAGGAAAGACAGCAAGAAAAAGAACTGTGGGTAGTGTCTTCACAGTGCCCACAGGCTGCTTGAGTACAGCTTGAGGCCCTGGGTTCCATCCCAGCACTATAAAAACAAAAAATAAAAAATAGTCTAGGTCCTTTTAGCTAGGACTTCTTTCTTATGGGAGTAGGAGTTATCTGGATAGTATTTTTCTTCAGAGCTGAGAACTATTTTAGGCAAAAATCATCCCTTTAGGCCAGCAGGTGCATACCAGGTCTTGAAAGCCCACATTAGGAGTTCACTGTGGCCAGGGGTTGATGCTGGTGCTGGGCTCAGTCCCAGGCTAGGCCTTGCCTCTAGGAGTCTGTGTGTCTGCTCTCTTCTTCCCATCCATATTCCTTTCAGGAGGGTCACACAGCACAATGCCAGCTCTGCCTCTGGAGCAACTCCAGATCACCCACAGAGACCCGAAGACAGGAAAGCCGAGGACTTCGCCAGCGCTGGTGAGCCAATGTCTTGATGTTTTCAGCCTGATAGCAACCAGCCTTGCAATTCCAGAAGCCAAAAGTAAATCCTTCCTTTTCTGTTCCAGGAATGACCCTAGGGTCAGTGGCTACTGCCGAGTAGTTGAGACGTTGCTAGGCCCTTGCAAGCCTAGTATAGAACTTTATTTCTGAGGAGCAGTGGAAATTTGAGTAGTATCTTCTATGTTGGGTCCCCTCCCCAAAGCATTTATTTTGTTTCCAGTCAGTCTGAAGGCAGTTTTGATTTAGTCTGAGCTGGGCTAGAAATGGCTCCAAGTCCTGGTTTGGTGATTGGCCTTTGTGGTGGCCTTAAGATTGCACATAGGAATATAAATGTGTGTTTAAATCTAAGCAGCTGCTCATGCTTGTATTGGATCAGTGATTTCAGAGGTCGGGCCAGTCTCTTATCTGGGGCAAGAAGTGAGACGCACAGCGCCTCTGACAGGGCCTGTGAGACCAAAAACTAAGGAGGCTGTAAACGTGCCAGTTCCCAGCATCAGAGAGAGATTAGAGCCATGGAGAAGTGCCAGGCTGCTAAAGAAAGGGACAGAAGTGGGAATTTGAGTCCTTGTACCCACTCGTAGGTTTCCCAAGAATATGAGCTTACGTGCGCAAGGTGGGAAGAAGTAGTTTCTGGAAGCTTGAGTTAAGTTGTGGGAAATGGGAACTAAGTGTTTTATTTCGTGCATTTTGGTTGGCTTTATTATTTCCTATTCAGTCTCTAATAATAGAACGTAACATGTTTGGGATACCTTGTGTGGGCCAAACCATTCTGAGTAAAGCACCCAGATTAACTTTTCTTCTTCTTTTTCCCCCCTCATTTATAACTAGTTCTTTGAGAATTTTGTGCAGATTCATCCCCGATTCCTCACCTAGCTAACTTTGTGTCCTTTTGTTTTATAAAGCCTATCAAGTCCAGTTGGTGCTGACCATATGTTCTTGGATGTGTGACCTTTCTTAGAAGGTGCTCAACCCACCAGTGACGGTGCCTTTAGAGAGAACTGACTTTACCCTCTATCAGCTGTTAGTTGCCAACAGTTCCAAAGCTAGGGATGGGACTTTGTGCCCACCTCCCCAGGTTTCCCCATTGTTTAAACTGGATGTTGAAAGGTGAATTAGCTCTGTCTGGACCAAGCAGGAAGGGAAGGCAGGCCCTGGTTGGGGAACTCGGGATTGCTTGAGGGAGCCTGACTCTTAGATCAAGCACAGATCCCTGAGGGTAGCACTATAGCAGAGCTAGTGAACATGGGCTTTGTACATATTTGACAAGTTCTTTAACCTCACTAGGTCTCAGGATCCAAAGAAAGATAATAATGGGCTAATAATAGTGGGGTGACTGTGAGGATTACATGAAACCACTGTGAGTTAGTCCTCTGCCTGGAGCAGAGCAGTTAGGGTGGTGAGAACAAGTAGCAGCTGTGACATTGAATGGGGTAGGGTGGGGCGACAGATTAGCTCAAAGGCGATTTCCTGGTCTTGTTGGTCAGACTGAGGAACCTTAAGCTCCTGAAACATTGTCTTGAGTGTGTGTAGGGTTTTGTCTTTTGAGTCTCAGCTTGGGGCAAAAAGATCTCTGCCCTAGGAACAGACATTACAGTACCTCTTCAGAGTGAAGGGTGGAGCTTATTGAGTAGTTACTTACAAGTACCAGGAGTGTGCACTTGAAAAGCCTGTAAGAAATAGGGTTGGACCCTTAGGCCATTCCTTGAAGGACAGTAAAAAAAAAAAAAAAAGAAAAAGAAAAAGAAAAATGAGTTCCTGTCAAGATGTAGAGGCTTGAATGAGTTCCTGTCAAGATGTGTTTTCCTAGTTTTCCAGAGCAGAGAGGCCCTAAACAAGTCGTACTGAAAGGTGGGATTGAACTTGGTTAGGAGAGACACCCCTGGAGCTGCTACTCTCCTGCTCTGAAGCCATCTATGGATACTCATTATAGAGTAGAGTTCCCTCTTGTCATTTTAAGCCCCTCAGAGGCAATATCTGGCCATTCATTCTTTTGTTCAGCTAATGAATGTGTGGAGTGTCCTCTCAATGTCAAGCCCGGAGGAAGTATCATTGAAAGCCAGTAAATATAATGGTCAAGACAGTGGACATTTTACCTTCTCTAAAAGTTCCCTGTGTCCTTCTATAATCCATCTCCCCCCTCCAATACCCAACAACAACTGATCCAAAAGTGACTTTGATGCTGTTTAGCAAGTGCTGTAGTCAGGTGAGCACAATGCAGGTGCTGGGCAGAGCTGTGGTAAACCCCAGTCCGGGAGGCAGGAAGGTCAGAAGGACAAGCAGTGAGCTCAGGTAGCACATGTGTTGGTCTGCATTGTAAGCTTTGCTTCCAATCCTGCCTCAGATGCCTGTTTAACCTCAAGGCCTTTAGGAAAGTTCTTGAACCTTACTAAGTCTTTGTTTCCTCCTCTGACAGACAAGGAGAATAATGTCTCCCTTTTAGCTAATTGTAGATGAAAAAGAAAATAGTGAGTTTGGCGTACCTGCTCCACCAATTGTGGCACACACCCTCAGTCCCAGAGGCAGGCAGACATTTCCTCCTGTGCTCTTGTGACCCTCCAGGCCTAAGTTGTCACTTCATCTGTTTAGGGCCTCCTTGGTGACTTAGATGTGCATCTTCCTCTGTGGAATGTAAACCTTGTGACTTGGAGAAGACTTGAGACTCTGATCTGAGACCTGCAGCACAGGTCTTTTATTCTTGTGCTCCAACACCTGGTACAGTAGGGACCCTGTAAAGAGTGTCAGCAGGTCAAGGAGGAAGGAAGCTTGGAATGCAAGGAGATAAGCTCTCTTTTCGACAGATTACTGGCTGGAATGCTGTAATGGGAGAGGATCTCCCAGACCTATATGCTAAAGGACTGCAGTGAATCCTTATGAAACTTGCGTACTCCTGCAGAGGCCCACAAGGTTCTTGATTGTTCTAGAGCTGGCTGTGGAAGTGGGAGGCTATGGTTGATAACAGTTGAGGCCTGGCCCTCCTCCTATTACAACTTCCCCTGAGAAAGCCACTCTCACTTAGACTGGGATGAAAACTGAGCCATCGAGCCCATCGGCTCTTCATTATGGTGAACAAAGTGGGGTTTGTTCATGGTTAGGCTGGGAGAGAGAACTTGTGACTCTGAAGCTGAGATCTGCAGCTACTTGATTAAAATCTTTAAAAAAAAATTAGTAGGGGTTTTTTGGGGGTTTTTTTGGCTATATAAAGGAAAATAGTGATATATAGAATATGATGATGTTATATCAGATTATATCAGAAGGGGAAAACAGACTCAAACAAATACTTGATCTGCTTACACTATATTCTAATGTAAAAACCTAGAAAGGTAACTAGGACAGCATATGGTCAGTGGTATCCCCAGGGAGGTCATGGAGACAAGGAATGTGCTTCCCCTCTCCCTTCTCTCTCTCCTTTCCCTCCTTCTCACCTTTTATTTCTCCCTTCTCCCCCTTAACCTCCCCCCACCATGCCAGGGATTGACCCCAGGGCCTCACATACCCATTCTGCCCACAGATTAAAAAAAGATACTTATGTGTTACTTGATAATTAAATATTAATTTTAAAAATATATGTTCACTGTTTAAAAATGGGAAAATAAGGTCAAACGTGATGATACCTTTATTCTAGCACTTGGGAGGCAGAGACAGGTAGATCTCTTAAGTGTGATGCCAACTGGTCTACACAGTGAGCCCTTGTCTCTAGAAAAAGTACTAAAAAATATATTGAAGCCATAATTCCCTAGCCTCAAGATAACCATTATAAATTTTGGGGATTGTCCCCTTCTTTTTTTAATTATTTATTTTTATTTTTATGTACATTGGTGTTCTACTTGCATGTATGTCTGTGTGAGGATGCCAGATCCCCTGGAACTGAAGTTATAGACAGTTATGAGCTGCCATATGAGTGCAGGGAATTGAACCCTGGTCCTCTGGAAGAGCAGCCAGTGCTCTTAACCTCTGAACCATCTCTCCAGCACCCCCTTACTTGTTTTTTAAAAGTGTGTGCCATTATTTGAATACATAGACTTTAAAAAACATTCCAAACCTGTTTATATTAGAGTTTCGTGTCCTTTCTCTTTCCTTAATCTGTCCCACACCACTAAAAATTCTCTAAAAACATGTTTTTAACAACCGCTATGTTCTCTAGGTGCAGCCATGGCGCCTTTGTTAGACACACTGGGTTCTTTATACTTACAAGCTCCTTGGAGGGTCTCTGGTTGGAACAGCCAAGTACTGTCATTGCTGTGGGTTGGCAAATGGGCCCTCACTGACTAACCTCTGCCACGTTAACACGTGGTTTTTGGATCCGTAGCACCCTGAGCAGAAGGCAGACCGGTATTTTGTGTTATACAAACCGCCCCCTAAAGACAACATTCCCGCCCTAGTGGAGGAGTACCTGGAACGCGCCACCTTCGTAGCCAATGACCTCGACTGGCTCCTGGCCTTGCCTCACGATAAATTCTGGTGCCAGGTAACATTCTATCAAAATTAACACTAAGACAAAGAACATGACATGTCCTTGGTTGGTTGCTGTTTTTCTCTCCCTTAGGAGTTGCTTTTGTCTACCTTCCTTGATCCTTAACAACAAATAGTGGTTTGGATTGCTGTCTCATGTTGCAACCTTCCTGATGTTTACACAGTGTCCAAGTATCATTTTAAGAAACTTGTGTTTAGCCCTGGGTTCAGTCATACCTCTTTGGTCTCTTGGGTTGGAGTGTTTGCAATAAGTCAGGGCTGATGGGCCATGCACACCTGTGTAGTCTAACTCAGGAATCGATCCTTGCTGTCTTCTCTCCTGGCTTAGGTTGTTTTTGATGAGACCCTGCAGAAGTGCCTGGATTCATACCTGCGCTATGTACCCCGAAAGTTTGATGAATGGGTGGCCCCTACCCCTGAGGTTGCTGACATGCAGAAGCACCTACACCGCAGCGTTTTTCTCACCTTCCTTCGAATGTCCACTCACAAGGAATCCAAAGTAAGCCTCTGATCCTGTGACAAGTCTCCACTCGACACCCTCTGCCAGTCTCTACCCCTGGGAAAAGCTCTGAGAGTGTCAGCTTTCCTCTGTGTATGCCCTCTTTATTCCCGTCTTTTGGGGAAAAAAAAAAAAATCTGTGCCACCATTTTCCCTTATCCTCTAACCCACCAGCCTGTCCACAGTACACCCAGTGTTTTCATTAGCAGGAACTCAGAGTCCTTGTCACGGCTGACAGTGCCTTTATTCATGTGACAGAGGGTAACAACATTGACTCTGACTTTCTGAAGAACTCGTGTACTTTTTTTAAAAAATTCATTTAGTCATGTATTTTTTGTGTATGAGTCTTTGTCTCCATGTATGTCTTTGTGTGTGTATACTTTGTCTTTATGCGTACCAGAAGAAGAAATTTGTTACCATTATAGATGGTTGTGAGCTACCATGTGGTTGTTGGGAATTGGACTCAGGACCTCTGGAAGAGCAGTTGAGTGCTCTTAACCTCTGAGCCATGTCTCCAACCCTCATATGTTTACTTTGAAAAATATTTATTTTGTTTTTAATTAATTTATATGTGTATATTTCTCCATATTTATATGTGTGCATGTATGTGGGTGCTGAAGATTCCAGAGAAGGTGTCATATTTCCTGGAGCTGCAGTTATAGGTGGTTTTGAACCACCCATGTAGGTGCAGGGAACGGTAGTCTTCTGCAAGAGCCATAATCACTCTTAACCACTATAGCATCTCTCTAGACCCTCATGTATGCACTTAAAAGAATCATTACTGGGATTTTGCCTTAGTGGTAGAGCTTGGCATGATGAAGAGTCATCTCCAATACTGAAAAACATCATCAATGCTGTCTTTAATTATTCAATATTATAAAAATATGAGAAAGATAATGAGTGCTACTCATAAAAATCCCCTGGCTTAAAGTTATAACTGGTTTTTAAAATTGTATTTCTTTATTTATTTGAGTGTGTGTGTGTGTATAAGTGCATTTGTCAGAGGATAGCTTGCAGGAGTTGGAGTTGGTTCTCTCCTTCTGCCATGTGAGTCCTGAGGATAGAACCCAGCTTGTCAGACTTGGCTGCAAGTGCCTTCACCCACTGAGACACATTGTCAGCACTCAGTAACACTACTATTGGTACATGTTCCTTCAGGGACTTTTTGTTCTTTGAGTGTGTGTGCATATGTGTACACATGTGTGGAGGTTGGGGGACAACTTGTGAGAGTGGCTTCTGCTTCTACCTATAGGTCCTGGGGCAGGTCATCAGCCTTGTTGGCAAGTACCTTTACATACTGAGCCATCTCACCAGCCTTCAAAGTCACTACTGTTAATGTGCATGTTCCTTCATGGAATCTAAAAACTGTTTAAAAATTTTTGTTTTGAGAGGAATAGTGGCACACACCTCTAATTCCAGTAGCTCAGGAGGTAGAGGCAGACAGATTTCTATGAGTTTAAGTCCAGCCTGGTCTACTTAGTGAGACCTAGTTTTTTTTTTTTAAAAAAAAAAAAAAATATATATATATATATATATTATTATTATTATTATAAACAGGATTTCTCTATGTAGCCCCTGGCATATCTTAGAACTCACTCTGTAGACTAGGGTGGCCTTGAACGCAGATCTACCTGCCTCTGCCTTCTGAGTGATGAGATTAAAGGTGGGTGCCACCACTACCCAGTGTATTTTTATTACTTTTAATTATATATATATGTCTGTGTGTTGGTATGTCCTGGTGCCTATGGAGTCTAGAGATACCAGGTCCCGCTGGAGTTGCAGCTATGTGGGTACTAGGAACTGAACTCAAGTTCTCTGAAAAAACAGTATGTGTTTTTAACTGTTGACCCATTTCTCCAGCCACTGGAACTTTTTTTTTAAGATTTGTTTTATTTTTACTTATGTATGTGTGTGACCGTATGTATCAGTGCCCACGGAAGCCAGAAGAGGATGTTAGATTCCTTGGAGCTGAATTTACAGGCAGTTGTAAGCTGCCTGGTGTGGGTGCTGGGAATCAAATTCCAATCCTCTGCAAGAGCAGCACTCTGGCCCTTCCTTCAGGAATTTTTGTTGGCTGGGAACAGAGAATTTAAGGACATGGATCTTGGAGTTGAGGTGTAGTTTGGTAACACAGTATTGCCTAGTGTGCTTATATAAGGCCCTGGATCTGGTCCCTGACACCACAGTGAAAAAGTGTCTTATTTTATTTGCTTCTTTGTGTGGAGACAAGATCTCCTTGTGTAAGCCAGACTGACCTCCAACTCACCATCCTTCTGTCTCAGCATCTAAATATTGATATGTATGTTTTTAATATGCATGTACACCACATGTGTGTATGAGCCCTCAGATCAGACATCAGATCCCTTGGAACTGTAGTTATAGATGGTTGTGAACTACCATGTGGGTGTTGAAAACTAAACCTGGGTCCTCTGCAAGAGCAGTAAGTGCTTTTTGCTGAGCCATTTCTCCAGCCCCTCTGAATACTGATTTTGTTTTGTTTCGTTTTGTTTTGTTTTTTTGAGAGGCAAGTTTTCTCCACGTAGCCCTGGCTATGTTAGAACTCACTCTGAAGACCATGCTGGTGTCAAGCTCACAGAGATCCACTTGCCTCTGCCTCCTGAATGCTGGGATTGAAGGCCTGTGCCACCACACCCAGCTCTGAATACTGACTTTTTACAGGCACTCTTCAACAAACCCAATGGATCTTAATTTTTAAATCACATTTTCATTATAATTAGGTTCCAAATATATGCGTATACCTGAGTGAAAGTTTCATGCATACAGAACAATGAATCCCATGTTCCTCTCATACCACTTGTATACTTTACCGATGTTTGTGTAATGTCTCTTGAGTTTGCTTATTTTGTTGAACTGTTTTTATGTAACCCCAGACACTGTGCTGATTTACCCATAATACTTAAAAACAAACCCCAGCTGACTCTTTCATGGTGTTTCTGTTTTTGTTTACATGAAACTGCAGAATCACTATAATTCTGGGTCTTTTCATAAAGCTCAGACTTACGATATAGGCATACTACCATTGATTAGCCTGACCCCAGTTGAAGAGCATCAGTGTGGTTTCTCATGAGTTTGCACATTCAACCTCCATTCTCTCTCTGTACTTCCCCCTTAGGATCACTTCATTTCTCCATCTGCATTTGGAGAAATCCTCTACAATAACTTCCTCTTTGACATCCCAAAGATCCTGGACCTCTGTGTGCTCTTTGGAAAAGGCAACTCACCACTCCTCCAGAAAATGATAGGTACGTAGAACGTAGGACCTGGGGGTGCACATGCCAAACCAGAGATCACAAATGCTTTGTTTCCACAGCACAGGAGTATTAGAGACAAGTGGTGCTGAGAAATTACCTCACAGTTGTAATATATGCATGCATATATAATACACACATAGATGTGTCAACTCTGAAATAAATGACTGGGGAGTCACAACAAAACCAAAACTGTGCCAGGCAGTGCCTCAAAAATCTGTGAGTCTTGCTGAGTGGTGCATAACCACAATCCCAGCACTCAGGAGGTTGAGGCAAGAGGGTTGTGAGTTTGAGGCCACCTTGGGCTACATGCCATACTGACTATTAAATTGGGACCTTGTCTCAAAACAACAGCCAAAACAAAATGTCTGGATTTCTTAGTGTTAAGACAGGTAGGTGTCAGTCAGTGGCATGAATGAGAAATTTGCTTTGGCAATGAAAGTCAAATTACAATGACATTAGCCTTCTTTGGAATGTGGCCTGGGCTCTGTCATGACATGCATATCTTATTTGTTACCTCCACTGGATGCACACAGGAGCTGTCTGGGATCGGTGCTGTCATTGTCCCTATTTATAGATGAAAAGACTGAGGTTGAACTGTAAAGGACTTGCCTGAAAGTCTGTACTAATCAAGAAGCCAAGCCGTAACGTAACAGTTATGGAGAAGTGACCCTGGAACTCCTGTTCTTTCTGCTCCCTGCTTCAGAAATAATGGGGCTGCCTCCAAAATATGCAGCATTGCAGAGAGCAGATGGGATCATAGTTTGGAGACTTTGTGTGTGATTCTGAAAAGAGTAAACACTAAGTTGGATTTCCTAACGCAGAAGCGGGCTATATGTTCACTCAGAAATGGAAGTGGTAGGGGTTGCTGCAGAGGGTATGTCTCGGTTAATTCCTTTTTTAATTGTAGTTCATAGTGTTGGGCCTGGAACAGGTTGGTGTTCATTCAAACACTCCTACCAACCTTCCTCATCCTCAGACTATAGGGTATAGTCTTCTAAATATCTGATTGCAAAACTGGGTACCCCTTTGGGAAGCCTGAGGTAAGAGCTTAATGATTTCAAGTTCAGCCTATACTATATAGTGAATCCTGGCTTTTTTTAAAAAAAAAAAAACAACAACAAAACAAAACAAAACAAATAGACAATGTTGGAAGGAACATTTCCAGCCGTCTGGCTAGCTTAGACCAGAAATACCACACAGAAACTGTATTAACTAAATCACTGCTTGGCCCATTAGCCCTAACTTCTTCTTCTGCCTCCTCCTCTTCCTCCTCCTCCTCCTTCTCCTTCTCTTCCTCCTCCTCCTCCTCTTTTTCTTCTTCTGATTTATTATGTATACAATGTTCTGTCTGTCTGTATGCTTGCTGGCCAAATGAGGGCACCGGATCTCATTACAGATGGTTGTGAGCCACCAGGTGGTCACTGGGAATTGAACTCAGGACCTCTGGAAGAGCAGTCAGTGCTCTTAACCTCTGAGCCATCTCTCGAGCCCTAGCCCTAACTTCTTATTGGCTAACTGTTACATCTTAATTTAACCCATTTCTATTAATCTGTTATCACCACATGGCAGTGGCTTACCGGCAAAGTTTTGACGTGTCTGACTCTGGCCACAGCTCCATGGTGTCTTCCTCTCCGCCCTTCTTTCTCCCAGCATTCAGTTCTCTCTGCCTACCTAAGTTCTGCCCTATCAACAGGCCAAGGCAGTTTTTTTATTCATTAATGGTAATCACAGCACACAGGGGAATTCCACATCAAGACAACTTGGGATAGTCCCCTCTCCCTCCCTTCCTCCCTTCCTCCCTTTTTTTTTAATCTCCTAACAGAGTTTATATGAACATATACATTAATATACTTGTATTTAGTTATATGTATAAAGCTACAAACTTTATACGTAATTTTATAAGTATATAAACCAAATACAAATAGTTGTATATATATATAAAAATTATATAAAAATCTAAATTTTACACATAGCTATATAAATATATAAATATGTAACTGTTCTTGGGATTTTTTTGGGTTTTTTGTTTGTTTGTTTGTTTTTTGAGACAGGATTCTCCATGTAGTCCTGGCTGTCCTGAAACTCACTCTGTAGATCAGGCTGGCCTCAAACTCAGAGATCTGGCTAGGCAAACACTCTTAACAGAGCTATATCCACAGCCTACAGATAAAAAATAAAGAAGCAGGAAAGCCATTAGTAAATATTTACAAGAGTCTACTATTTATTTATTTACTTTGGGTAATCTCTCTCTCTCTCTCTCTTTCTCTCTCTGTGTGTGTGTGTGTGTGTGTGTGTGTGTGTGTGTGTGTGTGTGTGT